CGGAGCGGCGGGTCCGAGGTTACTGAGCGCCCCGGGGCGCCTGAAGGGGAAGATCTGGCGCGTTCCGGGGAAAATCGGGATTTTTCTCCAGCAGCGCTCGGGTCCGGGGCATCGCCGGCGCCCGGGGGAGCTTTCCCGCAAACACACCAGCGGTTGTGGAGCGGAACCGGGATAAGCAGAAGTGCTTAAAGCAGCCTGACGGGTTTATTCCTTGCAGATAAGGCTACGAGCCAGCTTCTGCTGGAGACGGACTGGGAATCCATCCTGCAGATCTGTGACATGATCCGTCAGGGAGATACCCAGTAAGTGCTCTTTGGCTTTTGGATGCACTACAGGCGCAGCTCTTCTTGTCTTCGCAAGACGAAGCGTGAGGGTCTTGGACCTGTCAGCCTGTAGTAGTATGCGTCTTGTTATCCCCTTCCAGAAAAGCATTGGAAAGGCAGTACAGTACACCCCAATGTGTTGAGGTGCTTCCCTGACCTCGGGAGTTGCGGGTTATCTCTGGCCTGAAATACTCGGAGATACTCAAGCTTGAGCGCGCTTATTCCTTCTCTTCCTAGTTTGCCTCAAGGGAATTGCATAGACCATGAGCGAACTGTACCCTTTTGTTGGGGTGGGGGGGGGTTAGTGGGTTATCAGCAGCAGGCGGAATCTCCGCTCAGATTCCTGATTACCTGAGGATGTGTGCTCTCTTTCTTTACCCAGAGCAAAATACGCCGTCAACGCTATCAAGAAGAAAGTCAATGACAAGAATCCCCACGTGGCACTCTACGCACTGGAGGTAATGTCAGCACAAACCGCAAGCACTGCAGGGGCCTGGTTCACAGGCCAGGGAACTTCCCGTCTTTTATAAGCTTGCCTTCTGGGCTACACAGTCTGCACAGCGTTCCCTGCCCTGCTCAGGGAGCATCGGAGTTGCGGCTTGGAGTTTGCCTCCTCCTGGCTCTTTCATGATGGATCAGCAGGCCATAGTTTTCATTCTTTAATTCTGTCTCGGAGTTAGGAACAGACAAAGCTGGAACTTGAGACACTGTCCCTGGGGGTCTGTCTCTGCGTAGCAGAGGTACAAAGGCCACCGCACAGTGGAAGCATAGCTTACTCTCTAGGGTGGTGGTGTGGATTTCTCTGGCTTGGCTGATGCTGCCCTAATGCGACTCATTGCTGAAGTAGTGCCCCCATCTTGGTGTGCTGGCTGCAGTAACCTGTAACATGTGCTGGGACTCATTGCAGGCCACAGAGAAGGAAGAAAGCAGCGGGCTAATAGTGTTCTTTACCCTTGCAGGTCATGGAGTCAGTGGTGAAAAACTGTGGCCAAACAGTCCATGACGAGGTGGCCAATAAACAGACTATGGAGGAACTGAAGGAAATACTCAAGGTAAGTAGATCTTATTTTACCATCGTTTTTGAGTGAGGTTGGAAAAGAAGCAGCTGCAGGAGAAAATATGCATGTCCTCTCTTTCGTTCCCTTTGTGTAAGGAACAGAAGGGAAGCTGTTTGGAAATGCGTTTCAGAAAAGAGCAAACTGTATTGTGTGGTGTGAAGGGATGAGTGTAGGGTGCTAAGGAGTGCCTGCTAGGGAGAGAACATGTCCTGAGAGCAAAGGTAATGTTTGGCTATGTTGTGAAGTGGGGTAGGCATATGCTGTGAAGGCCTAGACCATTTCATGGTAAATGCTCCTGGCTGCAACACTTTGCTTGGTTTGAGTCGGCAAAGGAAAACAGAGGTGATGGTCTGGCAGTTGCACCAAGGACCTGAGCAGCAGTGAGGTGAATTCCCTCCCATAGTACAGTATGAGACACGCAGGAAGGTGAGCAGCAAGGTAAAAACTGGCAGAAGCTTCCTCTTTATCGTGGCCGTTTCATTGGCCTGTGGAATTGTTTGAGGAGCTTTGCAGGATGTAGACCTGGCTGTTTTCACTGACAAGCTGTTGTCACAAGCTGTCGCTTGCCAGTTTGTTGTGATGCCTGCAGGAGCTCCATGTGTCCTGGACTGGGGACTTCCACAAGTGAAATGGAAATAGGAACTTTATCTCCAGCTCCCAGCCCCGGAACGGCAATGCCCAGACAAGAGCTTGTGGGAACACTGCTGTTCCCTCCTTGCAGCCTCCATCTTCTGCCAGAAATAGACGACCAGGTGACCCAGATATTTGGTGAATGAGCTGTGCGAGTCCCATCATCTTGCACACTGTAGCAGGGTGTCTCTCTCCTGTCACCTTCCTGCTAGGGCTGACTCGGTCTCTGTGCAGGATGTTCTGCTGAGATTGGAACACTGCCACGATGTGACGGACAGGTGTAGTAGTGCAGCCACTCTGAGCACTGAGGAGACCAGATAAGATCAGGTCAAGAGATTTTGTCGTTCTCTCCAGTCCTTGTCTGCCTCAGTAGTTTCATAACTGCCATGGACCCATTCTCCTCCTCCACTTGGAACTTTGCCGCTTGTGAATGTCCAGTGCTGGTGAAACAGTCTTTGTTCTGATGAGGTTCAGGGCTGTGACATTTGTGGAATGCAGGATTTTGCCAAATCTTCTAGAAGTTTGGAGCTCCAGCAATTGTCAGTAAGTGATAATGTGTGGGCCGAGCTCTCGGCTGAAATAGGAGCTTGACAATGCTCCTCTGGTTCCCCGGGGATTTCTGGAGCAGCTGGTCATGTGAATGCACGATGACTTGGTCAGCTGATGACAGAGCTGTTCTCGGAGGCTGGCTGGGATAGGAACAGGCTTGCCAAGTTTCCTCTGGCTCCTTGAACTGTGATACAACCACCCGTGCCTCCAAAGGGCAGGCTTCCCAGCTGTCCTTTCTGCGTCACATCCCGAGGTAGTTTTACGTATTCCTGGGCAGGAGTCTCGGGGCTGGAGGTGCTGACAGCCTGGTACCGATACCCTCCATTTCTGAGCTTGTGGTGCCCTGTCAGTTCTTGGGTGAGGCCAACTGTGCTGTTCTGCCCAGCTGGGTAGCTGTAGGTTCCTCAGTTTTCTGAGTGCGGGATGAGCAACTCTTGTGAGGAGGTGAACAGAGACGTTGGGCAGGCCAGTGCTTGTGCCTGCCCCGGGGAGCGGCTGAGCAAGTCTCTGTGGGCGTTTGCTCAAAGCATTGTAACCGCACCCCTTTTCAAGTTGGTCTGTGCTGCTGTGAAGGACATTTTCTTGTTTGTGCTGGAGGGGGGAAGTGGGGAAGCTGAAGGAGTATGTAGTACTTGCCGCGAGTTGTCGTTATTGCAGCTTTCTGATGGCTCTTACCTTGCACAAGTACTCTAAAGTCTCTCTTTCCCTGAATGGTATTTCTGGCTCCTCTTCTGAGGGATTCACACAGTCCTTTGGGTCTCAGGGTCTTTTTCTTAGATTTTTTTTTTTCCCCCTCCCCTCCCTTTCTGTGCAGAGGCAAGTGGAGACAAGTGTCCGCAGTAAGATCCTGTACCTTATCCAGGCCTGGGCTCACGCCTTCCGCAATGAGCCCAAGTACAAGGTGGTGCAGGACACCTATCAGATAATGAAGGTCGAAGGTGAGGACTCTGTGGGCAAAGGTGGGTGGACAATTGGCCAAGCAGCTCTGCTCTGGAGGAGCCTTGCAGGAGAAGGAATGAGTGTCAGGACCCTGCCTGGTGTTAGCAAATTCTGGACTTGCAGTACTGAGCTTTTTCTTGGCGCCCAATACCTGATGAACCTCTTGGAGTGATTGAATCCTGCTGCAAAGAGAGGACAGCCCCGTTGTCCCAGGATCGGGGGCTGCCTTGCTCTGGGCCTCCAGCCCAGCTAGCAGCTAAAGGTTGGCAGTGAGACCTGAAAAGCAGGAGCTGCAAATGTTCTTCAGAAACTGGCAGCAAATCAGTGTGTCCTCTGGGAAGAGATTTACGTGGGGCGGTTCCTTCCTGTCAGGCTTTCATTAGTACTCCAGGATGGGTCCACGCTGCTGCTTTCTGACAGTGTCAGTATGGCACTTTCTCTCTTGTCCCGGGGATAGCAGTGTTCCCGGCGAGGGAAGGGATGTGCTGCTGTCTCTGCCTCTATTTCTGTGCACCAGCACCTCCACAGGCAGTGGCAAAGCCTGGAGGTCCTGGTCCCCCGCCGAGCAGGTGTTGCCACACTCTTGCCATTCAAGGGGTGAGACTCAAAGACCTGCCTGCATGTGCAGCGGGCTTTTTTCCCCCCATGCTGAGTTCAAGGTCTTGAGAAATAAGCCTTATCCAAAGGGCCCTGATGTCCCTTACAGGTATGTAAGGGAAACCAATAGGGGATTGTCCTGTGCATTCGAGATAGTGGCTGAGAGCCCTGTACTTCGCAGACAGCAGCAAGTGCTGCATGAGCATTGCCCTCTGGCCTCCTGCAGGAGGAAGATTGCTGTTAGTTGTGTCAGAGTAAGATAATGGTCAGGGCAGGTGTGCTGAGCTGGGTCTGACGTGTGTGGCTGGGATCTACGGCACAAGGCTGTAGGCACCACAGCCTCCCTGTGCCGGAGGAGCCCTTTCACAACAGGACATTCGCTTCTCCCAACAGGTCATGTGTTCCCGGAGTTCAAAGAGAGCGATGCCATGTTTGCTGCAGAAAGGGTGAGCTTTGCTGGTGGGGAGGGAGTTGGCACTGCAGGACAGACCTTGCTCTCCTGTCCCCTTCCTACTAAACCTTCAGTTCTTGCGTTCCTCCATTTCTTGCAGGTTAGAGACCTTGCTGGGTACACAAGTGCTCCCAGCTGTCATGCGGGCAGTTCTGGGGTGGTGTACAGCAATTTAGCCTAAAACTACCAGACGGAGGGGAGAATTGAGCAGGTCAGGGAGTTAGTCTCATCTTACCCTACTCAGTGGCCTTCCAGCAGCCTGGCAGTCTGAACATGGCAGCAGGGCATTGCTAAAGCAATTGCTGTGCAGACACATTCCTAGAAAATCTCTTGCTGACTGGGAAAGTATCACAGTCTCTAGGAATATGCAAGGAGATAACTTGTGGGGATTAAAAATTCCTGTTGAGCTGCAAATGCTTCCAGTCTCCCCCGTTCATGAGAGCACCTTGGTTAGCCGTAGGAGCTCCTGAAAGGTTCAGTGGAGACACTTTCCTCGAGGCCTTCCTCCCCTCCTTACACAAGCTTCCTTAACCCTGACAGGCTCCAGACTGGGTCGATGCTGAGGAGTGTCACAGATGTCGAGTGCAGTTTGGTGTTGTGACACGGAAGGTGGGTGCCACTCCTGTCCCTCTGGGTTCCCTGGTCCTGCACAGCCCCCTGGGACTTGCAGGACTCCCTGAGCCTGTGTGGAAGTGTGTCGGGGCTGGGCCGCATTCCCTGGCCACCGGCAGGGAAGTGCCCAGAGTGTCTGAGTGATGTTGTCTAATGGCGAAGGAGTATCTTGCTACTGCACTGATGTCTCCCACCTTTTGCAGCATCATTGCAGGGCCTGTGGGCAGATCTTCTGTGGCAAATGCTCCTCCAAGTATTCCACCATCCCCAAGTTTGGGATCGAGAAGGAAGTGAGAGTCTGCGAGCCCTGTTATGAGCATCTCAACAAGTCAGTACCCTTTGTGGTGTGTTTCTTTGCCTGCAACAGCTGGGACTGTGAGGGGAGAAGCTTGGCGTGGAGCCACCTTTCTGCAGACCAGAGCGAGGGTTTCCCGAGCTGTGCAGGCTGGGCTGGGTTCTCTTCCTTCCAGGGAACGGGGTTTACAGCTGTAGTGTTGTGCAGAGCTGGAGCTCCAGTGCAGAAGAAGGAGCGCTCAGTCTGCACTGTCACCTCTTTCTGACTACAGGAAAGCTGAGGGTAAAGCTGCTGCCACCTCTGAACTGCCTCCCGAGTACCTGACCAGCCCCCTCTCTCAGCAGTCCCAGGTGAGTGGCTGCCCTGTAGGTGATCTAGTGATCCTGACATGCTTGTTGATCCCTTTGTTGACCACCTCCTCATATTTCTTCTTGCAGCTGCCTCCGAAGCGTGATGAGACAGCTCTGCAAGAGGAGGAAGAGCTCCAGCTAGCTATTGCCTTGTCTCAGTCAGAGGCTGAGGAGAAGGAGAGAATGGTTTGTGTCCTGCTTGGCGTGTGGGAGTGGTTGTTGCCATACAGCCCAGATGTGCTGGGCATCTCCTAGCTGCGCGGTAACAGATCTGTAGGTGCGTCCTGGTGTGAGTGAGTCACGGGGCCTGTGGAATGAGAAGGTGAAAGCAGAGCCAGGCACGTGCTGTGTCACAGTCCCAAATCTTGGAACCAGGCTGTGCCCAAGCTGCAAGCCCTGGGGCACACTGGCCTGAGGGAATTGCTCAAAGCATGAGGCTGGGTCTGCTGGCTGTGCCTGGCCATCTCTAGGAGCCTTGTCCATGCAGTGTGCCCAGTTTGTTGCTGACTGGGTGATTTGGAGGAGTCTGGACAGTCCCTGAGTCGACTGGTTTTTCTCTTTTCCAGAGGCAGAAAACAACCTACGCCATGTACCCGAAGGCTGAGCCCACACCCGTCACATCATCAGCTCCCCCGGTCAGCACGCTCTATTCCCCACCCGTGGTACGTTCACGGGAGCCCCTGAATGTGAAGTGGCTGGACGCAGACCTCTTTCCTAGCCCGAGTCTGCCCTGTTTGGGTCAGATTTAGTCCCTGTTCTGGGAGAAAATATTTGCCCTGTTCAGTCCCTTGCTCTTTCACAGCACTACTGTGTTTTCAGCCAGCATTTAAGTGCCTCTGCTGCTTCCTGTAGCTGCAGCATGTGTCTGGCTGAAGGACACAGCTGTCCCTTTTCAGTCTCCTGCTGGTGCTCAGCTCTGGTGGTTGTGCATGGCCAGGTCCGAGGAGGATGTCTGTGTGGGAGCTGTGGGTCTGTGGTTTCTCTGAACTGGATTTCCCTGTCTGTCTCTTTCCAGAATTCCTCTGCTCCCTTGGCTGAGGACATTGACCCGGAGGTAAGGATCCAGGCCTTACTAGTCCACGGCACAGGCTCACTCCTGGCAGGACTGTGATGCTCATCTTCCTTCTCTTTCTGGCAGCTGGCTCGGTACCTGAACCGCAACTACTGGGAGAAGAAACAAGAGGAGGTTCGCAAGAGCCCCACCCCATCAGCACCTCTGTCCCTCACGGAGCCAGCTGCTCAGCCTGGGGAAGCCCACCCTGCCCCACTCGGTGTTGTTGAGGTAAGAGGGGGCCTGGACCTGTGTTTGGCAGCTTCTGAGGGGTGAGAAGCGCCCAACTCCTTCGTTCAGCCCAGTCACGCAGCTCTGCAGGCTGGCTGCTGGCTCTTGACACAGCAGAGTTGAGGCTGACTGGCTGCCCTGTCCTTCCAGCAGCAGTACCAGAACGGAGAGTCTGAGGAGAACCATGAGCAATTCCTGAAAGCACTGCAGAATGCGGTCACCACGTTTGTCAACCGCATGAAGAGCAACCACATGCGGGGCCGCAGCATCACCAATGACTCTGCCGTGTTGTCCCTCTTCCAGTCCATCAACAACATGCACCCCCAGCTGCTGGAGCTGCTCAACCAGCTGGACGAGCGCAGGCGTACGTGGGAGCTGCCTGGCCGTGGGCAGGCATCCTGGCGAGGAGCGGGTGGCTGCCGGGGTTTCCCCCAGCACTGGGGTTCAGCATTCCCATGACACAGCCTCTCTGGAGAGAAGCCAGCGCGGTGTGCTCTGCCCCAAGAGGGTCCCTGAGGCTGTCCCTTCCCTCCCCAGTGTACTACGAAGGCCTGCAGGACAAACTGGCCCAGATCCGGGATGCGCGTGGGGCTCTGAACGCGCTGCGGGAGGAGCATCGGGAGAAGCTGCGCCGTGCAGCAGAGGAGGCAGAGCGCCAGCGCCAGATCCAGCTGGCCCAGAAGCTGGAGATCATGAGGCAGAAGAAGCAGGTAAGGCAGGGAGGTGTTTCCAGGGTATTCGGGACCGCGTCAGCCAGCAGGCCTGCCTGCACCTTGGGCCAGCCCAGAGCTGGCAGGGACGGCTGCCCTGGCAGGAGGGGATGCTGCGGTGTCCTGGCTTCTAGCTGTCACATCCCTGTTGCCATAGGAGTACCTGGAGATGCAGCGTCAGTTGGCCATCCAGCGACTGCAGGAGCAGGAGAAGGAGAGGCAGATGCGCCTGGAACAGCAGAAGCAGACCATCCAGATGAGAGCCCAGATGCCAGCTTTCTCGCTGCCTTATGCCCAAGTACGGCTGCTGGGCCAGAGACCCTCCTGCCAGGTCCCAGGGGACGTGGCCTAAAGGTTGTTTATCTTCCCTGAACAGCTCCAGGCCATGCCCGCAGCCAGTGGGGTGATCTACCAGCCTTCTGGGCCCACCAGCTTCCCTGGCACCTTCAGCCCGGCCGGCTCTGTGGAGGGCTCTCCCATGCACAGCGTATACATGAACCAGGCAACACAAGGGGGCACGGGGCCGTACACTGCAATGCCTGTTACAGGGACAGGTACATCAGCCAGCTGATCCCAGGCGGATGGAGGCTGAGCTCAAGGTGGTTGCTTCAGTCTCTGCCCTCTCCACCCCAGATCCCAGCATGGTGAACGCCTATATGTACCAGCCGACGGCAGGCAGCGGGCAGGCGGCTCAGCAGGGGCAGGCGGTGCCCACCACCACCCCGGCGTACTCATCCTACCAGCCAACTCCAACACAGGGCTACCAGGCAAGTGAGGGAAGAGCAGCTCGCAGTCGGCTGGGGCATTCTGCGGGGCTGGTGCAACTTGCCCCAGCTCAGTGATGGGATCTCCGAGCAGGAAGGAGAAAGGGCTGGTTGGTCCCAGATCTCCGGATCTGCTGCTGCTTTTGCTGTGGGAGTGGGTTGGGGCTCCCCATGGTGCAGAGGGAAGAAGACACCCTGGTTCTAATGGAGCAGGGAGAGCCCTGCCACTCCTGGGGCCTTGGTTTGAGATGAACCATCGCTGCCTGCGCCACCTCTCACCAGCCTCTCCTCCGCAGAGCGCAGCCTCGCAGTCGCAGAGCATCCCGGCCATCTCTCAGGCCCCCCAGTCGGGCACCATGGGCTACATGGGCAGCCAGTCAGTCTCCATGGGGTACCAGCCCTACGGCATGCAGGTGAGCACTCCCTGCCGCACAGGCACCTTCTTGGGCGCTGGTGGGGGGACAAGGTGTGGGTGGTCTCCAGCCTGTGCAGCCTTCCATGGTGGCACAGAAGGGGGAGGCCTGGAGGAGGCTGTGGGCCTTCACCTCTGCCCTGTGGCCATTGTGCATCCCCCAGCCCCTCTGACGACCACCCCCTTGCTCCCGCAGGGCCTCATGTCTGCCCTGCCGGGCCAGGAAGCAGCACTGAGCAGCCTGCCAGCCCAGCAGTCCTACCTGCCCGGGCAGCAGCCCCTCTACCAACAGGTGAGTGCTGCTGGCCTGGCCCGGGACAGGGCGGGGCTTGCCACCCTAGAGGGGTGCGTTCGCTAATGAAGCCGCCTCATCTGTTCCAGATGGCACCTGCTGGAGGGCCCCCCCAGCAGCAACAGCCCCAGCCCGCGCCTGCCCCTGTGCAGCAGCCCCAGGGCAGCGGAGAGGCCCAGCTCATCTCCTTTGACTGATCTCTGCCGTGGGGGGGGGGGCGGGGGGGGGCCCCTGGAAACCTCCTCTTCATCTGGAATCACTTCTGCACTTCACCTACTCCTCCTGCCCCCTCAGCCCCCTTCCACCCATCCCACCTCCCCAATCTGCCCCCGGCCTGGGGGATGTGGGACCACAGGCTCCCGCCGACGGCTGTGCGGCCCCAGG